CCCCAAAACCCCAAAACCCCAAAACCCCGTAAGCTAGGCTGGATTGAATATTTATCTTTCAGAGTCATCTTAATTCTCTTGGATTTGATCTCCCACAATGAATATTCCCAAGAACGGACAGGTTTCTTTGATGGCAGCTAGGGTGTGAGGCGTAACTTACTGATGGAGGATTCTGGGAGATACAGATTTTGAAGGGTGAGGGAGACCAAGGTTCTGTCTTTGTAGAAGGCTTTTAAAGAGTCGATTTGTCTGATTATGGAAAGGATTACGCTTTTCATCGAGAGTATCTTTTTGAATTTTGGGTCAGAGGGGAGTTTGTAAGAGTCAAATTGGTGGTTTTGGTTTAGATTTAGATCTGCTATACTCTGATAATCCATGTTTTCATCTTCTTCTGTGCTTGTAGATGAAGTATAACAGTTAATGAAAGAAAGACCATATAAGGCTCTTTTCTTTATGTGATTATCTGAATTTTCATCGATTATATTATTTTCTTCTGAATCTATCATATCCTTTTGTTTCAAAGGTCTCGATAGCATAAGTTTCGGGCCTTCCACTTCTTCATGATATCAAGAGTCAAATGTTGATTTATTTTGTCATTTTAAACCTTCAATTATTAAAGACAAGCCTTTCAATTCTTGTTTTCATCAAGGCTGAAATTATTCTATTCAAACTCTCATTTCTAAAACAAAATTTCTTCAAAATAAGTGTATCTAACATCTTGACGTTAATCTTTCGAATAACTTCTCAAAAGTGATCGACCCCAGTATTCTCAAAGAATTTAGATGCTTCCTTTCTGCCTTGGTCATCTAAAATAATCTCAACTTCTTCAAATTCCCATTCTTGAACATTCTTAATCTCTCTACAAGAAATTCAGAAGGAAAATTACTTGGTGTATAGTTCAGGATCAGCTGGCCTTTCGTTTAATATTTCGTGCATGATTGCTCTGACTTGGGAGTCCAAGGTGATCGGAGAGAAGACAAGTCTGGCTAAGCAGGATTCTGGAAAGGGGGTGCACGTCAGAGTGTAGAGACTCGATTTCAGAGTTTTGGAAATAGTTTCTATTTTTTGTTCAGTGAGTTTATTAAGGATTTTGGTGAATTCTTGAACCTTAAGTTGATTAAAAATTATATTATAATTATTTGTAAGGCTTTCCGTGTCTGTAAGAATTTCCTGTCTAAGAGTTTCCATCTTATATCCATATTTTTTTAAATATTTTTCTTTCTTTATGCTCTTTTTTGTATAAATCTTTAGAAATGACCATCCCTCTTTTAATCCATTTAGTTTATTATTATCTAAATAATTTAAAGACCAAAGATATTTGTGAAGTAAACTCTTTTGGCATTATTTCAAGGAATAAGCAGTCGTTAAAAAGTCATAATAACCTGTTTTCCTTTTGATAAAAACTTATTAATACAGAAAGGAGCTGACAAGTGAAAGTATTTAATGTAGTAAAAATAGAGAAAATACAATTTGTGTTACAACATGTTTTACACTGTCAACAAAGAAGTTGTAACCTCTTGTTTTTAGGATACGATAAATTTCTATGATAGGATGCATTTGAAACAGATAATTTACAATTCTTTCGATTGTACTTAATACCCTCTTTGCTAATAGTGTCTCGTATGTCAACTTGAGATAAATCTGAACATTTGTTTTATTAATAGCGAATAACTACTCTCAAAAGAATGCATAAGCATATCACTTTCCTTTATTCTGGATGGTCAAGAGTTTCAGTTTTTGAATTTATAGGAATAGAAAAATTTTGGAGAGCTAATGAATTTGCTGAAGTTATCATTGCTAACAACCAAAATAAGTCTCAAGGGTTTTGGATAGTATGCGGGGTTAATTAAAACTTAAAATTATTCGATGATGTTCAAAATTTGAACTCGCACTTAACACTGAAAATTCTTAATTCTCATTTTGGGTTATTCCATGATACAGCTGGAGGAAAGAATAAAATTAGCCTAGAACGAATCAGAGTCTTTTCAACTCTTAACTCGAGCTGTTGTGTGAGTTTGATCTTTAAATACCTTACTAATCCTCATATTGGAAATATTTAGAAAGATATTGATGCAACTAATCAATCTTCCAATTTTATATAATACCAATATTACCCCAGCTAAGCATCTCTAAACCCCTCCTTCCACTCCCACCTCTTCCTCCTACTCAAGTCCCAATTCCCTTCATCATCCCCCATAAAGTCCCATTTAAACTTACATTTCTTCAGTTCTTCCTCCTTCTCTTCAACTTCTTCTATCAATTTAGCCCACTCTTCATCCCTTGCTGCCATACTTCTGAGTCTGTCTTCATCGATCTGACTGGCAACTTCAGACTCGGGGATTTGGGATTGGATGTAGGCTGGAGTCAGAGAGGCTTGTAAGTGGTGGAGGTACAGGTCTGTGTATGGAAAAGAGATTTCACGACAAGTATTGGATTCCATAATAAATTAATTTCAATTTTAATGTTTTTATTGGGGTTTTGGGGTTTTGGGGTTTTGGGGTTTTGGGG